GCGAGAAGAACGCCTCCAGGGTTCGCGAGGCGGAGGAAGCGGAAGGTGGCTCGACGCCGTGCATCAAGGCCGCTGTCCGCGCCAGAACGCGGCCGGCATGGTCGCGTTTCCATCACGCGCCGCGTTACACGAGGGTTCCTCGTTTCCTTCGCGCGGGACGATAAGATTCGAGACCCCTCTCTGTCGCGATACGTGGACCAGTTAGTTCGTATCGTGGCACGAGAGATAAATTCGACGAGACGATTAACCCCCTCCCTTGCTAATTACACGCGAGCAATATTACATTAATCGCAGGTTGGCGGTTATCGATGGACGCCAGGAATGGAATTAATCCGAGTTATGATGAGTCCCCTCCCCTCGCCTTTACTTTCGACGGTAATTTGATTACGTCGTTTCCACCGGTCCATTTTCGGTTGTTAATATTCGTAATGGCCGGCGAATGGAGGAAGGAACGCACGGAGCGATGACTCTCTCCCTCTCGAAACGTTAATTTACGATAATGCGTCCGGGGCGCACGAGAGACGCGAGGCAAGACTTCCGCGTCCCTCGTGCACGCATCACGAATCCATTTCGCGCCGATTCGACGAAATTGTGCCGTGGAACGAGGTAGCTCGACGATCGAAACGAACCGAGCATAGATTTCGTTCGACGAGTGGGTTGAAATTTAAGCGAGTCGAGAAGGTATCCGTTCCTCGAGCAGATACAAAAGTAATATCTGCTCGTTTGAAACGTTCATGAGTTCGAACGAGATATATTAGGGTGTCTAGTAAGTTTCTTTCTTTTTTTTGAAGTGAATACACGATATTCGTTGTTTAAGGTGAACCGTTATGATTTATCGCCTTCTTCCATCTCTCGGGAAGCCTCGTTGTTGCCTTTTCCAAAATTGTTGGGGTTTATTCAAAATATTGCTCGAGGTGCCTTTTTATTTCGCTCATGGATTGGAATCGTTTATCGTGGAGAGAATTTTTTTAATAATAGGAACAAGTAATAGTAAGATAGAATGTCTCAATCGAACTGTAACACCTTTTCTCTTACCTCGTCAATTTTGGACGTTTTTCTACTTCAATTTATCAAGCTGATCGCAATATTTTCCAAAATTGACGGTTTCACTTTGAGAAAGGAGCTCATAATAGACTAAATCTTTCTAATCCCACCAAAAGAACTTTCTTCAAAGACAATTGAACATCTATTTAGTCCTTAAATCAAGTGCGTTCTCGATGCACATTTTGATACAAAATCCAAGTCTCTTTAAAAAAGGATCTCTTTCGTGTCGTTGGAAAAGGAAATCGCACGTAGAGACGCGGTTCATAAAGTCAATAACTGTGGAACCCAAACTTCACATCGATCGACGTATCCCATTTTGGTCAGGTGATTATCCACCTGGAAATGTTAGTGGCATCCACTGTATCGCGAATTTTCAGCGAGCATGGCCTTGATAAAGTTCGTATTCGTCATTGCTGGCGGCCTTCAACTTTCGAGTCAAAATTGCCACCTCTAAATCCCTCAAACCAATCGCGAATTTCCATTGTAAACAGTACAAATCTCCGCAGTATCACCTTTTTTAAAGCATTAACAATACTTTCTCTGGTTATTCATATCGAACGGTGTAAAGAAAAATTTTAAAAGAAACCGTATCACCGACGAAACGTACTTTGAAAGGGCTCTGGAACGAGTGAAGCCTATGCCATAAACAGATATATAATTATATAATATTATAAATAGATAAGTCTGCATGTTCGTATAAAACCGGTTAAAGTCCTCCTAGCGTGTTGCGAAAGAAACTTATGGGACACCTTAATACAGCTTCGTCGAAAGGAAAGTTCATTATCGATAATTTTCAGCGTGCTTACCTTTCGACTCGACTCGCCGCGGCACAACTCCCACAGAAGACAAAGGGCCAGCGAGGATATCCCCGTTTCCTTGGCGAGGGTGGCCAGGGTGGAGGAGACGAGGGCCAGGATCAAGGGAAACGGCGACCTGGCGCGCTGGCAGTGGGCGCTGTACGCGAGGAACGCCAGCAGGGTGAAGAGGCAGGCGAGGAGGTCGGCGCGACCGACCACACCGGCCACCGCCTCGCTGTGGATCGGATGCGCCGCGAACAGGAAGCCGGTGATCGCGTGGCCCAGGCTGTTCCTTCCCGGCAGCACCTGGAAAACGCCAGAAATTCTCGGTGAATCGACTAACAAGGGAGAAAAGAGAGACAGAGAGAGGGAGAAGGTTTCAGCAAGCTCGATCGAGAACAATGAATTTCTGAATTTCCTCCTGAGAGCGGAGAAAGTTATTCCACGATTTCCTTTAATCCGATAAATGGGATCCGAGCGACGGATTTCTAATCTCTAAACCGTGGTTGCCGTCTCTCGATTTCGAGCAAGAAGACGGATGAAACGATTTTCGATATTTCGCGTATCCAGCCGAACCGAGAGAGAAGCCGAGAGCGGGCGAGGATCGAGAAAGTTGAAAGGAGAAACGAAACGAAAAACGATTCGAATCTCGATGATCCATTATTGCGATAGCGTCGGATTGGCAGGCATTATCGGTGACGCGCGGCTATTAACATAACATTTCGGGATTAAACGTGGCGGTAAAATTTTATTACGTCATAACTCGCGACGTTATCAAGATATCACGTGTGACGCGCGGGCTCTACAGGTGTCAACTATTATTTCGTTTTCTCTGGTGGCCGGACGCGAAATCAAACCGAGCAATGTGTCCGGAGTTAATGGAAAATCAGATGGACCGATCCCCTCCCGTCTTTTTTCGCCAACTCGACTCGATAAATTTCAATCCAGGCTCCATTCCGTTCGAATAACGACGGAATCCCCGTTATTAACCCGTTGGCTCTTTACCTTTCTGGCCACTCTGACCACTAGCACGGTGCAGGCGGCGTGCAACGCGACGTTCACCAAATGATAGCCCCAAGGCTCGAGCCCTCCCAACAGATGATTCAGGCGAAACGTGGCCACGCAGAGGGGCCTGTAGCTCCCGTGAGAGCCTCGATCGCTCAACGGCGTGCCCCAGAAATCGTTCTCCAACAGCTTTGACCACGGTGTGCTGGACAGGAGGTCTGGATTCGTCAGGATCGCTCTTCTGAAACAACCAAACCATTCGTTTCCTCCAATAATTTTGTAACGAGTAAATATCGTTACGTCCGATATTTCAAAACTCGAACGAATCTATATATATATATATATATATCGGTTTTATCTTCGGTCTTAGAAGGAGGAGGAGGAGGAGGAGCATCACCGCGGGTCGTGGTATTTTAATCGACCAGGTCGATCGATATTCACGAGCGTCGAGGTGTTTCGGCTCCTCTCCGATACCGCAGGCGACGCACCTGAGCCATCTTCGTCGACGAGGAAATGGGAGCAAGGCTCGGTGAACACCGGGCCAATAATTTCGAATTCCAGGGGGTCGATAAACCCCCCTTCCTCCTCACCAACGAAGCATCGTGTCGCATTTTCTACGTGAGCTCTCCCCCGTCTTTGGACCACGAGCATGGACAACGTCGGGTCCCTTTTTCAAATACTTTCGATCCAGACGATTAAGTATTCAAAAGAATTTCGCGTAAAGAAATTCACTCTCGTTGGCGTACGAGTTAAGACTCGGAGTCAAGCTCGTTTGCGAAGAGGAGGAGATTGATTTAAGAAGATTCGACTCTTTGAGTTCCTACGTCGAACGCTGATTCCCTGCAACGCACGCCTGCGTAATAATCCTTTTATCTCGAATTTGATTTCCCAATTATAGAGTGAATGATAAATCTATAGCCTCGAATTTAATTAATTCCAGGCGATAATTAGATAAAAGAAAAAAAGGACGGCGAAATTTGCGAAGAGACGTTTCGATCGTCGCGAGAGGGGCCGAGATTTACGATTCGGGAAAATTCATTAGAATTCGGGACAATTGGAGGCGACGGAGGGGAAGGGTCGCGCTCTCTCGGCCGGGAAACGGCTCGACGCGAACGAGCGGGGATGCCGTGCAAACTTGCCTCGTCCCTGTTTATTTCAATTTCCGGATCCTGTCAGCCGACGTTACGTACGCGCTCACGCGAAATTCCAAAAGAAACAACGCACGCCCGGCCACCGATATCGGAACCGTTACCTCTATTCCGTTACATTATTGGCCTCGTTAATGCCGATCGATTCGTGAAACATTAACGGCCGTTGTTCGTTCGGAAATATGAATGTTTAATGAAAATGTTTTTCCGTTTTTTCCCCCAACTGGCGAAAATAAACGGTCGAAATTGTTGGCGCACGCCAACCACTGATCAATAAAATTTCTCCCCAACCATTATTTATATATATCGACAATTCCGTTTGATTACGAGGAAAAAGATGGAAGAAAGAGAGAGAGAGAGAGAGAGAAACGAAATGCCAATAACCAGAGGAGCCGGGAAACGAGCAATTAAAGGGTAAAAGGAGATCCGGGGATCAACTTGGAAGCTCTCTAACGTGGAGTAATCCGAGGTATTAGTCGAAGGCATCGGTGATATTAAGCATCTGTCAGAACTGTCGCGAAACGGGGACGCTCTCTCCTCCCTTTCTCCGTTTCCCTCTCTCGAGTTGCCCCGTCCGTGTGTACACGTTCGCGGTATTCCCCGGGGACTATTTCTGACAGTACACGTGACGTTAATGAAACTCGGTCCCCGAGTCTAACGGAGCAACTCGGGACGTGACTGCACGCGGCGGAGAGGGTTTCGCAAGGCTGGAAAAGGGTGTGTGTACGTGTGTGCACCACCTCCCTACGAGGCCATAATACCCGGGTCCAGCCCCTTTAAGCCTGGCTGCTCGACTTGCAAGCCGCGGG